TTCACGTACCATTTAAAAAAAGTCCTCTCAAGTACAATTATGAAAGGTTCTTACTAGGAACTAAACAATATTTTAATATTTAATTATAATAATGCTTAATTATATTAGTTGTATGAATGATTAGCGCTATTTATTAACTTAAAAATTTATTTTTCCATCTACTTTTATGTGAGTTTTTTCAAATATAATAATAGTGCAATAGGAAAATGTTATCTTCATAATTTTTACTTTAATTCGACATGCTGTGCTCATTGTGTATAGAATAAATACTTGATGGAGATGAAGTTAAGTGTTCAAATTGTAAAGAATTTCTATACAGTGCTAGTTTTAAGGAAGCATCTTTTCAAAATTTGAACCCTTAAATTAAAGAAAAATGGTGTTGTGTAGAATGTTGATTCCAATAAAATCTACTGACTACACTAGAAATAGTCTTGTTAGCTCTAATAAAATTGTTTTAAGCTTAATTAATTCTTTAAAGTTAATTATTAACCAGTTTGATGATTTTGAGAAATAACTACGACAGATTCTAACAACAGTTAAAGAATTAAAAAAAATTAAAATAATTAGTTGAACTCGATCTAAATTTATTATAAAGACGGCTCAATAATTTATAAAATAATCGTTTATGAGTTATGTATAAATAGTATGTATTCTGTCTTGGAATTAAAAAATGAAAACTGTTATAAAGTAGTTGAAAATGTTGTGTCTAGTTAGAGTCTAACTTTTGTTATATCAAAGACTTCTTTTTGGCCATTGGTACTTAATAAATCTAATAAAACGATTGCTGAAATAATTTCATTTGAAAATAAGAAAAAACTCATAGAATTGATGAAAAATAAGAAATTTATTTGAAAAATGTGAACGAAAGCTGGAGAAATTATAGTGTTTATGTCAATAATATTCTTACTAATTTTAATGAAAACGTGTTTTTAAGACTAGAATGTTTGCGAAATAAAAAAGGTTTAAATTTCTATCATTTAAAAATTTAAAAATGTTTATGAAAAAAAACAAAAATTCTAAATTATTTATTTTACATGATGAAAATGAGGTTTTTCGATTTTAATACTCAGTACTTCATATCAACATTAAATTTTTATAAAACGTATAATTTAGTTAATAACTTATTGATTAAAATATTTAGTTGTAACATAAAAAGTACTAGTTTTGTTGAGTTTATTTTTTTTTGGAAAGTGATATATGCCGTGAGGATTTAAATTTAAGTGTACTCAGAGAAATCTAACAATTTACGTAAGTTTAATTATTTAATACGAAATTTTCACTCTAAAATTAAAAAAAAAAAACCGAAATGATGGTATTACTATTTTTGTTGAAGAATATTTAATTGTTAATTGCTAAGAATATGATCATATACAAACAAATATTTTAAAACCGTCTTTTGACATTCTCAATTTCATTTTTTTTTTTAAACATGTGTAATGTGTATAGATTTGTATTCAGTGATATTTATAAACATTTGTTCATATTTGAAAATATATTAGATACCGTTAAATGTAGTTTTGTTATTGACATTTTACAATTGTTGGAGACATGAAATAAATAAACTAGGACGTTACCATGATGATATCTCATACTTGGATATTTTTTTAAAGTATGATTTAAGCCTTGTACAAATGTATACATGAGAACTTCAGCTAATACAAAACACTCATGTTTAAATCATATTTCAATCGAAAGTAATTGCAATAGAAACACTGATATAAATGCAGAAGTTTTATAAACAGATATAACAAACCATTATTCTAATACTAAAGCAATTGGTATAAATGTAATGATAATTTTTTTTTTTTAATTATCATCTACGATAAACTGAATAAACTGGTTAAAGATAAATTATATCTAAAGTGAAAACAATGTCAATGTATGTGTTTATTCATTGCTGTGTATTGATATTTCAACAACAACAAAAAGTAATTCTTATTAACTCTAAAAATATACATTTAAATAAATTAATATCTTCTGAGTTACTTTATTCTTCGAGACATAGACAACAAATATCAATACAAATTAAAAAAACAACCAAAAAATTATAAACTTTTTGTTTATTTTACTAAATATAAAATAAATTTAGAAACATTTTAATATCTGTTAACACTAGTTCTTATAAAAATAAATTGAATGAAGAGTGCAATAGCTTAGTATTAACGTGGAAGATAATTAAAGAAGTTATAGACTCCAAAAAACACGGCTACGATACAATTAAAACAGTTTAATATGCTGATAATATTATTGATACTAACGAAAATCAGAGTTTCTAATATATTTAACGCGTTTTTTTTTTTTTTTTTTTTTAGTTTAGATGAGAATTTTGTAAACACATAGGCGTGGGTACAGGTAGGGCTGATTGGGCTTTAGCCCCATTTGAATCTTTTTTTTTTTTAAACGTAGGTGGGTACTTGGTACCTAAAAAAGTAATAAGGCGTTATAGCCGTAGAAAATTGATAATAAAATAAATCAAAATCTTAGATATTTATATGATTAAAGATATACTTAATATTAAGTACATTAAGATAAATATTATAGCAAATTGTTTATAGACTATATAAGTAGGTAATTGTTATTCGAATCGACAATTTTTCATTATTTTGATTTTAAATAAAAAAATACAGTTTAATATTTTAATTTTAGTTATATTATTATAATTATTTATAATATAAAATATGTAATATTTTTATAAAAAATAAGTTAAGCCTATCTAACTAAGAAAATAATAGTAATTATATAACATTGTATTTGAAAGCTATAAATCGTATAATTTTCATTGTGGTTGCCGGTTTGTCGATAATTCTAAGTGGGTGGTGGCAATAGTAGCATACACTTAATAGTTCATTTTTGACTTTATTTTTAAAAAGAGGTCACATGGAAAATCAGTAAATATTTTGGGTGGCATGTATCTACACAAAGGTTGAGAATTGACGAACTTAATGACATGGTTAAATTCAAAACAAAAATTATACATAACATAAATAAATAAATATATGTAATAAAAGACAGAGGAACATTACATATTTTGTTAAAGCTACTAATTTTTTTTTTGTCATTATAGAATTTTCAGTGTTACTGGTAAATAAGTAAATAAATAAAGGAAGGTACTACTTATAAAACAAAACTCAAAATTTAGTGTATTGAATTATTGTGTAATAATTTTTATAGTAATTATATACAATAATATTTTATTAATTTAAACATATAATTTTTAATTTTAAATAATTTTAAATCATACAATTACAATTAATTACACGCTTGTATATAATAAAACTGACAAGAACCGTCTGTCTGCCTCACTTTGGAGTAAATACTCGCAGATTATACAAAATTAGTAATTACATATGATCTATAAACAATATTTATATATTATTATATTTAATTTGATATTTTATTATATTATACATATTCATATATTATCAGCATTAAATCACGCAACTTCATAGTTCATTGCAGATAAGCGGAGTCAGAATCGAATAATTAAATAATCGTAGCTTAACAATAATAATAATATAATAATTAAATGCCGTTCAAAGTGTGTGATGCGATGAGTATTGTACGAATGTATAAGTATCTAAATGAAAGCGTAATTATTTTCGTATGTATCTTCTCGGTATGAAAGAAGCGATGGTGACGGGTGAATGTAAGTTCTCATATGAATTATTAGCAGGTAAAAATCACTTTTGGATATAATTACGTAATTTTCTTCATGAAAAAAAAATATATTAGTACATAAGTTCTTATAGCCTATGCGAATAAATATTATAACGAATTAAAATTTCCTTCTAGCTTTTTGAATTGAATTCGAAAAAAAAAATCACGAGTATTCGTAGGTAGTAAGACTTCTACAAGACTTAGCACTAGTCCAATTACTAAGAAAATGTACGTTTTCCACTATGTAATTAGTAGGCACTAAGTACTGGTGTATTTTTTTTTTGGTGTAAGAATTTCCATTATTTTGGTCTCTGAATGTGATTTGGAAACAGACGATTTTATTTTATTTGTAAGTTCAATATTAAACAATTAATTATTAGTATAATGAATTACGTAATTTTATGATCAGAGCTGTAAATTAAATGAAGTATGTACTAAAAAAATATTGAATATACACTAAAAACTAACGAAATATGCACTTAATAATTAAATATATAAAAATATAAATGTATAAAAATATACTAGCCATATATGATTTTACATGAGTTTAAAAATATATTGTAATGTTAGATAATTTGAACTGTTTTTTAACTAACTATAACATTCTGTTAAAATCTTTTTGTTCACGTGAATATCTACAAGATATTTATGAAACAACAATATATAATAAAGTTGTTTATAGGATTTTAGACAGATCTATAATTTTGTTATGATAGGATGATTTTATTTATATAAAAATAGAACAAACAGTTTTAGTTTGAAAAAAAAAAATAAAAAAAAAAATCTATTTTATTATTTGCTTTTACTTGTTGAAAAGGTCTCCACGATTGTGAGAGTTCTTAATGCATTCTGTAACACAGCATGTTTCACTGTTTTGTATAATTATTATTGACAATATTATTCGTAACGAACAATATTATAACGACTTAAATAAGAGATAACTAAAAACCCAAAAAGCTTAAGAGCCTTACAATACATTTCCCGAATATGAAAACAAGGACTCGATACGTACGTAATAAGTAGAAACTAATATTATAAACTGATTCGTCAGGAATTTGGATTACGGTTTAAATTTTTTTTTGTATTTAACATTATTATATCGACATAAATCAAATTCTAACTGGAAAATGATATACACCTATTTAAGAGATTGACATTGGTTATTGTTGAATCTACAAAAGTTTTTTATATTTAATATTATGAGTGATAGAAATAACATTAATTTTGAAATTGTATTGAATCTATTTTTAGAAAAAGTTTATTGATCTAGAATATCATGATATATGTTTAAAGAATACGCATTTAATGAATAAGGAATAATAATAAGATGTTTTTTTTTTCAGAATACCATGAGTAATATCGATAAAACCATTCATTCTGAAGAAAATATCATCAATGATCCGGCACCAGCACCTGCAGCGGTAAATCCAGTTGCTGAATGTGAAATGGACGCACTGCTTCTTGGAAGAATCGGGGTATAATTTATTTTAGTTTAGATTAACTAATTTTTTAATTAATAATAATTTAAAAATCAATCAATTGTATTTATCTTACAACTTGGCTATGATTAAGAAAAAGTTTATTTTTATGCTTAACGTATTTTAATATTATTTTAAGTTTATTGACACTATAAAGTTTTTAACGTCATGTGACTAATAAAAATTATTACGCATATGGATGTTTTAAAATAGGGAAATACCTCTATTCGAAATAGTATCTAGCAAATACTGTTACTCTGTCTTCTTCTGGCACTTCATAGCTAGAAGATAGAGATTAGACATTAGTTTATGTATTAATTATACGTATATATATCATATTTATGAGAATAACAAGTATCTATCAATATATATATTAAAAAAAAAACTTTTTGACTTTTTGACAAGATTGTCATTGTTATTGTTTTTGATTTAGTAAAGTACTTTTACAACTTTTGTAGGCGCCCCTGACATAATGCAAAAGTAGTTCAGGAGTTTTTCATGGTTTAAAAGCGAAAAAAAAGTCCTGGAAAATACTCTTCCTGCTATCTTTAATCCAAGGATTTTTTGTCAGTTGTTATTTATAACATTTAGTAATGAAAATGATTAGTATATTTATTTTTAAAACTACTTAGATAAATTCTGAAAAGGTTATTTTAAGTTAAAGTTTTAATTCAAACCCGCTTTATTTACAAACTATAGATAATTTTGTTCAATAAGAAAAGGTAGGCTTTACATTGTCGACGTGTATTATAACTATTGTCTTGGGAAATTCTGTTATTGCCTGGATAGAACTTCTGAAGAAATTTAATTATTTCTTCAGATACTTGAAAGTGATTTACAGCTCCCAATAGCATTTTACTAGAGTTATTTTTTCTTAAAATTGATCACTATATTTATTTGTATGATGTTAATCATCTCAATCATTTCATATAATTTTAAACAAAAACATTTTATTAGTAATAATTATACATATGTATGTCTATTAGGGTGGTCCTTATTTATATAGGTGGAATATTTTTTTTTGAAATGTTAACACAGTACTTTTTAAATTTGTTTAGTTACATGAGTAAGTAATTTTGGCGAAATTTGGAAGGTTTCACTCAATCCTTTCTGGTGTCGTATCGAGGTTGAATATGACAAAATGGGGTAGTTTTCTAATAATTTTATTTAATTCAGAATATATCGTACTTAGCGAAAACATTTAAGAACCTAAATTATATATTTTAATATTGTCTATAAAAAAGCATTTTGCAAAAATTGTCGTAAATCCATTATTTTTAAGAAAAATTGAGAATATCAAAATATTTTATTTGTTTATTGAAATTAATGTTTTTCGGATAATTAAATATACATAACGTCCAATTGGATGTCTGATAAAATAACTTATATAATTATAACACAGAATTTAATATTCTAAAAATACATTTACATTAAAAATGTCATAAGACAAAATGTCAACCTATATAAATAAGAACCACCCTAATATTGATGCTATATTGTGTTTAAAAGAACACGGGTTTTAGAAAATACTTATCGTCAAGGAGTTAAAAGTGTTTAAAAACTTTTATTTAGTCTTCTTAAAATTATAATTAAGAAATACTTAAATAGTATTTTGAGTCATTTTACATAATTGTATTTGATTACAGAAAATGTCTACGTAATAAAATTATTTTTATATTTTTTGAAATTTTTATATAGATACTTGAAGTATAATATTTATGAAATAATTGCAGATATTAAGAATAAACGTATACTTTATCTATAATATGAATATTTTAAATTTTTAACAAAATTCACAACTTTTATGTACAATGTACAGTGCACAGGTAATAAAAAAAAAAATTTTTATTTTTATTGTTTGCATTAGTCAATTAATTTTAAGTGTTAATACCATATAATAATTATAAAAATGTATCATAACAATTTTACAAAATAATATGTTGAATGCGTGTTGTGAATTCGTTAAAAGTACGGCATATATTATTGACATTATTCAATTAATATATAATATTATTTTTAGAACATTTCAAGAAATTAATTAATTGATATACCTTCTAATTATTACATTGATAAGGATTCTATTATTGAAATGAAAAACTATTATAATTGTTTTGTGTAAGAACTAATAATAATAGTTTTGGTTTTGATTAAAAAAAAAAAAAACTTACGGCTTTATTTAAATTGTATAAGAAGTCTTTACAATTGAAGAGTTGTGGTTCTAATTATAAATTCTCTTATAGCTCACATGTTAGTATAAACTAAAATACTTGCTAATATTTTTATGGGGACATTTTACATAAAATGTTAGAATTTTAGTATGAACCAATCATTGGTTTTCTTTCTATTTTTATATTACAGTTAATTTCAAATGACTATTTACATAATAATTGTCAAAACATGAATTTATTATATCTTTTAAACGTGTTGTTTTATTGAATAAAATCGTACAGATGTGGATATTGTATACAATTTTCCTCTTTAAAAATGAAATAAAAATATTTTTATATATGCCACGTAATTAGTTTTTTATTAGAATACATTTATACTGTAGTATATAATTCCAAAAAGTGCGTTTTAATGTTATGAGTATATTATTTTAAGTTTATAAAGTGTTATTGTAATAGAACAATATTATTTAATACCCAAATTGTAGAGTATTTAAATCATAATGCAACTTTCGCTTTATATTTAAAATTGGACATAGAAAAGAATACATTGATATAAATAGGTTTATTTATAATATTTTTTTAATATTTCAAATATCAACTTTCAAAAACTACCAGAAATTCCCATCCTTTCAACTAAAACAGTGTCTACTATCATACTAATATAAGATTAAAAAAAAAAAAAAAACTAGCGACGTAACAATGGTTTAAATATTTATGTTACATCATAAATTATTGTAATAATTTTTTCTAATTATTAATATAAATACTTGCATGTATGTGTTCATTATACATTTGATATTTCATAAAGATTTTTGGGTGATTATAATTATTATTTATTCAAATCGTGGTTATGGATTTTTTGATTTGTTGAGTTAAAGATGAAAAAGATATTTGCATAATTAATGATTTTTATTTTAATTTTAAACACATTTTTTTTAGTGAAAAAGCCGTTTTTAATTTTGAATTCTGAGAGAAACCCGAAAGATTTTGAATATTCAATAGTTTAAAATTATCTGTGCTTTTAATTTTTCTCTCTTTTTGAAGTATTGGTGGTGTTCTAATAGTGATTTATTTATTTGCAAAGAAATGTATGGTTTTAAATGATTGTATCAATGCCTACCTATAACTAAATGATGCGAAAATTAAAGTAAAAGATTTTTAATTTTTAAGCAATTTTGTTTAAATCGAGTTTTACTAAGAATTTTTCAAGAGTGCAATGACTTTTTATTAGATATACATTTATAATTCAATATAAACCATAATAATACATGAAGTATACTAATAAATACTTAGTATAGTTATTAGTTAGAGTGATTATATGGTTAACTGTTGAGATTTATATAGTATATTGAATTGTAATTTGTATTAAATGTGGAGCTTTTATTATTTATAAAAGTAGAATAATATGATTTTCAGATAAGTATCTATAAACTATATTGACAAAGGAATAAAATCATCTATTAATAATGTTTTATATTTTTTCTCAGGTAGTAATTAATTAATTTTGATGCTATCGACCTTTTTTTTTTTTTAGTTTTTAGAGTGAATAGTAATTAGTTAATGACTGATACATATAAAACTATTATTACTTTACGAGTACGGACAGCTCGAAATAACTTTGTGGCATTATAGCTTTTTTCTACTCTCGACTAGCCTACTAAGTAGTTTAGACCTCCAAATATTTATTTTGGACATAAGTAAATGTTTATGATATTAATACGTATTACGAATTAAGTGAATTAGATTCTTCAAAAAGTATATATATGTATAAATAAACAATAAATATGACTATATTATTTTATAATTATATGTTATTTACCTACTGTTAGAACTTTATAAATGGTCAAAAATGCAATTCATAAACTAAACTTATATTAAGTTGAAAAACTGAAATATTATAATGCTATAAGATTTTATTAGAAATGTGAACTTAAATAAAAATGAAATTGAATAGTTGTAACTTATGTATAAGTGATTATTGTAAGTATTTATAATTATTCTTAATAGATTTTAAAAGAGTAATATATTATGATGTATTATATGAAGACTCAGAAATTGGGCTACTAATATTGTATTATTTATGTCAGCTAGATCTGGCGATTTTAAAGAAACTTAGGAATATTAAAATTCAGGAAATTAATTTCAATTTAAAAAAAATATATTTTAAATTATATTGAAAACTATGAAAAAGGGGAAACCTAGATTGAATTTATGAAATATTTATCGCATTATTAAAAAAAAAAAATATAATAATAGTTATTATTTGACTAATTTTATGTATTTAGTTTCATATTACACATTTATTAACAAAAAAAAAAAAAAAATTAAGTACATCAGTTATAACATAAATAAATGCTATAAATTCATATATTTTTATATTTTATATTCTTTGCCCAATCTTAGTACAATAAAATGTAAACAAATATTGTATATGAAGCAGGTTGATTGATAAAATATGACACAATTATCGACCGCCGTATAATATTAATGTGACATACTTATACATAATAATGTGTATAATTATTTTGTATTACATTTATATTTTAAGCTTGCGTTGTATTATGCAGTTATGTATTAAGTAACTTTAAAATTGAATATGACAGCAATTAACAAGTTAACTTCTGAGGATTGATCAAAATAATTGTCTAACAAAAATAGCTAATAAGGGGTAAAACAATGGTTATAGTTTTTATAGCTTTAAACTTTCTTGGTAATAATAATAATTGATTTTATATAGTACTTTATAATTTTATAGAAGATTTTGTCAATGTAATCGAAGTTTAAGTTCAGAACTTTTTAGTTATACTTATTTAAAACTAAAGTTTTGAT